CGAACGATTTAACTTCTTCCATTAACGTTTTTATATATGTATATTACACATGTGCAATATCATTAGCAAAAAAATCTCTTAGACATAGTTATTATGTAGTCACATATAGTAAACATACTTAAGTATATACAGAGTTCGACACCAAAATCCAGACAAAATTCCATTTAAATTTTCCGCTATATTGTGCCTCCGACAAAAGATGTTGGCTTTCCAAGAAAGTTTGATGTTTCTAGTAAATAGTTATATTCTCAAAATCGATTATACATCGAAGGCCTTCGCGCTGGACGCTCAGCAACGGAAATAATTCGAATTTTTAAATACCCGAGATCAATCGTTTATGTCTTTATGACATTGTGGCAAAATTTACGGTTTTAGAACGGTCCAACGAAGATTCTAGTATGCCAGCAAGGAAGAATGACTCGAAAGAACGCATCACGAAAACCCCCACAGTCGTTGAAAAGACTCGAGCGCTAATTTCGGATGACCAGGACAATCGTTGCGAAAATTAACATCGATTATATTATTAGTGTAAGCGAGTCAACAAGCGTCCAATTGCCGAAGAGTTTTTCAACAGGACGGTGCACCGGCTCATACGAGTCATTTGGTTCAAAATTGGCTCTCAGACAATGTCGATATATTTTGGTCTAAGGAATTCTGGCCTCCCAACAGCCCAGATTAAAATCCTTTGGACTACTACGTATGGAGCGTAGTTGAAAGGGTCACTAACAAGTCTTGGCATCCTAATGTGACGTCATTAAGGATCGCTATTGAGGCAGCATTCGTCGGCACGGACAGCACTACATTACAGCGTGCGTGCGAACGCTTCAGACCGAAAATGTTTAATTTGTCCGGATTTTGGTGGCCAACCCTGTATTGATAATCTTAAACATTTTACTTATGTTAAAAAAGATGTTGCATCCGTCATTATTATTCATACAATTAAAAATAATAAATAAGTATAGGGCTAATAAGAGTCAATTAAACTAAAAATAAATCAACTGTAATGTATTATCATTACTATATACAGAAATATAGTAATTATATTAAAAATTATAAATCAAAATATATATTCCGTTGAATAATTCATGACATGTTTCGGCCATTATTTTTGGCCCTCCTCAGATGAATAATGTTTAAAGCGCAGAGTGACGTTATAATAAATTGAAGGCAGTTTTTGTTAAAAATTAATAACAATCAAAATATAAAAAAAATTAACGGTATATATAAATGATTCTTCGGAAAAACGTGGATACTTGTCAAGCGATTGGATAATCGATTGCAAAGATATCTCATGATTCTAAAAATTCGTATTTCTACGAATATGGTTTCTATGTTCATAATGCGTGTCTTTAATTGTCTACCTGTCTGTCCCACGTAAAAGGCATTGCAATTATTACAATTTATTTTGTATTTAGTTTATTGGAACTGAAATAAGAGACGTTGATATCATTCTTATTAAATTATTTGAATTTTTCAGTTAGATTCGGAACAAAAGGTACAATGACTCATGTTGGAAGAGTTTTAGATATATTATTTTTCTTAGTTTTCTAGACTTAAGAATCTATACTTAAGAAAAATTAATACGTAGATTTCTAAATGTTTTTAATTCTTTTCACCCATGTTTACAATTTATCTTAGAAGTTGGTGACAATTCTTTGAATTATTTGGATGTTACTATTATCTATTATTATAAAAAACAATAAGTTGATTTTCGATTGATTTCACAAGCCTTCCTTTTCAGGTAGATTCATAACTTTTCAGGTAGATTTATAAACTTTTTTCATGCCATCCTTTATTCCAGAAAAAAGGCATAATATACAGTCTAGTTGATAGAGCTTTATTGTTATCAAATGTTTTATTTCATGATAATCTTCATCATAAACACTTTAATTAAGATTAACCATTACAGTTTATTTTTCATACTATCAACAATAGAGTTAAAGATATTTCTTATAGCAACCTTATACATAATACAATTATAATAATAATAAAATATCTAAAACTCTTACAACATGGTTCACTGTACCTTTTGTTCCGAATGTAACTGAAAAATTCAAGCAATTTAATATTATAAGAATGATATCAAGAGATCTCTTATTTCAGTTCCAATAAACTAAATAAATACATTGAAGTACGTAAAGAACGAAAACTGTCTTCAATTTATTATAACGTTATTCTGCGCTTTAAACATTATAAATCTGAGGATGGCCAAAAATAGTAGCCGAAATATGTCATGAATTATTCAATATATATTTTGATTATTTTTAATTTAATTGACTCTTATTAACACTGTACTTATTTATTATTTTTGAATACTAAGAGTCCTGTACTTATTTATTTAATTCATATAATTAATATTAATAATCAAAAGGTAATGAAAATGCCTAATCGAGTCAGTACATTGGGTGTTGGTGTGAAGTTGTATATGTGTTTATTGTAGAAATTTAAATCTGTTTAATTACGTGTCATTGTACTTCCTGAAACACTTTATAATGCAATAACAATAAGTCTAGACGCGTAATGTGTATGAAGTTGTGTGTTTATGTTGTTTTTAGTTATTGTATTAAGTTGTGTGAAAAAAAGAAAATTATAAATTACAAATAATTATTGCAGTAATAATAATGTGAAAAATTATATACAACATTTATAAATCATCACTTTTATAATATAACATTTAAATTCATAATTTTACAACATTCTCAGAACTCAATAAAATGAATTTCACCACTTTATACGAAAATACACATACATTATAATTTTATATTTCATTATTACTGCAATAATTATTTCTAATTTATAATTTTTTTTTTCACACAACTTAATACAATAACTATAAACAACATAATTTTTCACACATAACTTCATACACATTACGCGTCTAGACTTATTATTATTGCATTATAAAGAGTTCCAGAAAGTACAATGACACGTATAATTAAACAGATGGTTCACATTGATAAGGATCCAAAATAGGATCGAAACATATGTAAATTTCTACAATAAACACATATACAACTTCACACCAACACTCAATATACTGACTCGATTAGGTATTTTTATTACCTTTTGATTATTATCACACGAGTCTATCTAATAATTACCATACTTTACTATATCTTAATATTAATAACTATTAATACTCACGTTTTTTCACGATTAGTGTCGAGAAATATTAGATCTGTATCAATTAACAGTTCAATCTTCACCTGTATCAATATAACAGTAATAAAGTTATAATATTATAAGATATTAATAGTACATTGTGCAACAGTGGGGAATAGTTGTTTATAGCCCGTGCCGACCTATAAACAAACCACTCGCTACACATAGAATTTTTCATTACAACTGCTCGTCGTAATGTGCCTATATCGAAACATTTTTGCGCAGAAGAGCGGGGTTAGAGAAAAACTCAACGACTTGAGGTATTGGCTATTTCCCGCAAGCAAAAGCGTTGAGGTATTGGGCACATTACGTGCACGCGTAATGAAAAACAAAATAACAATCTGAACTTAACATAACCTTTGCATAATTTTCGTCCGTTTTTTAGGAGCTCAAATTTTTAACTAAATTGCCAAATAATATCCTATATTTAATATCTGAATATAAGATTGTTGGCACACAATTCAGTTCCAAAACCTCAAAAAACGAGCGATTTTTGCAGTCTCTCTTTTTAAAAAATTATATATTAAATAACATAAAACATTTACGAAGAAACGTATTGGATTACCTTTTATTAATGTCAAAATTACCACAAAAGTAATTAAATCCGCTAATCTGCTCCGCATCCACTGATCTTCTAAATTTGGATGGCCCAACACTGAACTATACTACTGGAACGCCCGCCTGAATAGACAAAGAGAGTCATCAGTTCAGTTTAGGTTACTTCGTCCTTGTCGGTATAGTCTGACTCAAGAGTGCTTTCCATGCGTCTGCGCATTTCATTAACTAATCCGATTCACTTCTGAATCTTCGGATCAACAATACTTTTGATTCTGAATGTACGACGGTCGAATGCGCATGCGCCATGAAGGACAGCGATACCTAAAGTAGCTATCTCTGTTTATTATGCCATTTCAGAGGACAGAAAGCGTTCCAGTAGTATAGGACGCATTCTGGGTATCGATCATGAAACTTTTTCCATAGGATGAAAAATGAAAAGTGAAAATTTTTACCATTGTAGTTAATGGAGAAATTTTTCACTTTTCATTTTCCATCTTAGGGAAAAAATTTCATTACAGCTTCACGACGATTGGGGCTCGCGGCGCGCGGCGTTGTGCGCGCCACCGAGCTATCATGGGCGTACACTATTGGTAGTAGGCGTGGACGCCCGTATTCGGTAATTTTTACCAATTATTATCTCGTTGACTATTGCGAAAATTGCAAAACGGTAAAGGACTTTTCGACTCAGTTCAGTCCGCTCTACCTGTTCATGTAACAGTTTCATGTCGGCTGCTTTCAGAGATGAATTCAGTGCAACTTTTAGGTCCTGTAAAAAGTCCTAAATAATTTTTGTGCAACAGACAGCGCATAACTAGTAGCGCAACTCTCTGTCGGCACCTTTCATGTTAGTGGAGCACAAAATGAAGTGCGCATGCGCGAAATGAGCAAGTTGCCCAGTCGCGCAACTGAAACTTTTATCTCACTTAACTCTTTACTCTCCATCTTTCTAGCTACTCTATCTCATTTATATGTACACTCGTTTCACTTAATTTTTTCCACTTTTTCCACTATTTTCACTTTTGGCTATTTTATTTCCACAGTCTTTTCGGTCACAAACTAGATTATGAGTTTCTCAAACTAACACAGCTCAAACAAACGGCAATTTACTAATCCTTCAAACTAAGCACATTAACAATCACAGGATCTTCTAGTTCGACTGGGCAACTTGCTTATTTCGCGCATGCGCACTCCATTTTGTGCTACATAAAATCAGGAGAGTTGCGCTACTAGATGTGGCATAACAGTGGGTACGCCATTTTGTGATTAGCCTTCATTTCAGAATGACCGACTCACAATCAGACGAGTAAGTATAATTTATTATAACAAAATTTATATATTCGTACATTATATTAAAATTACTTTAATTTTTTTTAGCTTTTTATTGATGGACGTCGTAGAACCAATAGAAGAGTTAATGGCCCTGAGGGCTGAGAACAAAAAGCTAAAAAAAATTGTTGCTCAGTCCTCAGGGCCACCGCAAGCCGTGGAAACGGCCATCCCAGCGGCAACGCAACCGCCCATCCCAGGGCCATCGCAACCGCCCGACCCAGAACCAGCGGCAACTCAACCGCCCATCCCAGGGCCATCGCAACCGCCCGCCCCAGAACCAGCGGCAACTCAACCGCCCATTCCAGGGCCATCGCAACCGCCCGCCCCAGAACCAGCGGCAACTCAACCGCCCGCCCCAGGACCAGCGGCAACGCAATCGCCCGCACAGGGACCAGCGGCGGTGCAGCCGCTTGCTGTTCTACAAGAAAAACGTAAGTAAAAATTACAGTATAATCAGGAGTCACGTAGTTTCGCCTTTAATCTATACGAGATCTGTTTTTATTGCTGCACTTTCCGAAAGGTACAATAAATTGAAGTGAAACAAAAATATACGTTTGTTTCACTTCAACTTATTGAACCATGTGCACCAGTTCAGAAAGTATAGCAATTAAAAACAGACAGACCTATGGGTTATAATATAATAAGTAATACAGAGTGGAATATAATTCACAATAATTAATTATTTTTATTTTATTACAGCTAGACGTTGGCAGAAAAGCCGGAAGCCATACCGCGGTGAAGGCCGGGAAGGCCGTGGAGGCCGGGGAGACCGTGGAGGCCGGGGAGGCCGTGGAGGCCGGGGAGGCCGGGGAGACCGTGGAGGCCGGGGAGGCCGGGATAACGTTAAAAAAATATATATTTTCAAATAGAAATATATTATAAATGTTTCAATAAAAATAAATATGTTTCAATAAAAATTTTTAATATATAATACATATTTTAAATATTTTTGTATTACAATCCCTTTCCTAACACTTTCCTAATCAAATTGAAAGAAAATGCCTGAACGTATAAAATATTATAGCAAAAATGCACTTAAGAGTTACCTAAGCGTTTCCTGAACGCAGCCCAGTGCTCGGAATTAGTTGCACATTTCGGACCGATTTCTGAGGCGACGCCTACTGTCTCCCCACTGAGCCGCCAATTGTTCACGCTGTGCCTCAGGAGCTAGAGCTCTATTAGGAACGTCACGCATAAACAATCAGCCGCCGAGTCTTGAGTGGTAGTGGGGACACAGTAGGGCGTCGCCTCAGAAATCGGCCAGAAATGTGCAACTAATTCAGAGAGCACTGATTTAAAAGATAACATAATCTTCTTTCTTCAATCTGATTGTTATCTCAACTTATAAAATAAACAAATTGGAACATTTTAGAAACATAATTTGAAGAAAAAAGATTATGTAATAAATTAAAATTAATTAATAGAGATTATAAAACTTATCTGATACAATAAAGAGAAATACTTATAATTCAATGAGCCAGAAGCATGCATAGTGATTTCACTACTAGGTCAACAATCACGTCAGATAGTTGCGTTAAATCGAGAAAATCCTGCGTACGAAAGGACAAAAGAAAAAAAAAGTAAATAATAAATTGAGATAACCAGAGATAGCCAAATATTTTGGCTCATTGAATTAATCAGATAAGTTTCAAAATCTCTATTAATGTACAAAATATTATTCAAGCTAGCGATACATATACACAAGTATCGTGCGCATTCGCATACATTTTGATACATCTGCACAATGTACACTAGCACTTATAGATTACTCGAGTACAGAGAGAATGTGTATACAACACCAGCGATCTAGCTACATAACAATTACTACAGCTATATACACAGATTACTACCGAACAGCCGGCTGCATTAAGTTCACCTTCACAGGTCTTTGGAGAAGATTCAACGAAACGGAATGATCCATATTCGTCGGGTTTCGTAATACAAAATAATAATACGTTCTATACAAAGTGTTGACAAAAATGCATTCAGCATTTATATAGAGATAGTACACAAATATTGAGGGAAAAGCCTTAATAAACATAGATCAAAAATTGAACCTTTTCTGTGATATAAATTGTATGTTAGTATTATGATTGACTAGTTGGTTCCTACGATGTTGGCTCCTACGATGTCGCATACGATGTAGAAAGGAAGAAATTAAGATAAATAGCATCTGATAGCCTATTCAGGAAAATTACAGGTCCAATAAGGTAATCTCTTGTATTGTCCATCCAATACATTTGTTGATGTCAATTTACTAATTCCTAGTAAAATATTAACGTATAAAATTATTTATATCTGAAAAACAATTAAATTTTTATCTATAAGACTTTCTTACTTAGAATAGTATGTTGATACTATCTTACCATATAAATCCTGAATACTTTTTTGTAAACAGCCTGTATATTTATACTCTCACATAGAATACCATTATATTTGATTCGAGATTTTGGAGTACATAAGAATTCTTTTGAAATTAATAATGATCTTTTGCGATTCATTTTTGAAATGATCTCTCACCTAGAATACTATATTTGATTCAAGATATTGGAGTATATAAGAATTCTTTTGAAATTATTACTGATCTTTTATGATTCAGTTTTGAAATATTATATATTACCTTCAGAATTTAATGTACTTTTATTTAGGGCAACATTATTGTCGACAAGCTTTGCATTAGTCACATCCAAGATTATAACACTGGCATCAAGAACTTTCAATGTATATTATCATCGTTTCATGGTATTTCCTCCTCCCAATTGAATATCATTTTGATCAATAACTTCTAAATTGTGTACCTGCAAAATATATAAATAATTTCAATCATTTTTTTTCAAAAATTACGTTTATTGGCGTATTTGATTATTATATGTAATAGATTTTTTTTAATATAATGTTATTACGAAATTGATTATTATCAGAACAATCTTTCTTTACGATAATAATTATTAATTAGAATAATAATTTGTAAATGTATACTTATGAAGATATACGTGATTGGAAACTACTTATAACTTACACTCCAAAATCTCGAATCAAATATAATGTTCTAGGTGATAGATTAATATAACAGTTTTTTAAAAATAAATCACAAAAGATTTAATATTAATTTTAAAAGAATTCTTATACCAAATTGTCTATTTTAACGTAATACATTTTATTATTGAAACATAATGAAATTGTATTGTATTACCATGAAAAATGACTCATATATTATTGAAGGTGCCAGTTCAAAGTAAACATACATAAAGTATATATTCTTTTTTGCATATACACGTAATAATGATTTAACATTACTATCATAAACAACTAGTATGCATATGTTGTTAAATCATTGTTACGTATATATGCAACAAAACTTCAATAATATCAGTTACTTTCCATGATAATATATATTACATTATTAGATAATTATTTAAAGTTTAAAAGATCTCAATACCAAGTTAATTTAAAGATTTCAATAAAACCAAATAATTTTATATACATATATATATTTGAGTAACACTATCAAATAAGTTTTATCTTTATTATTATAAAAGAATTGATTCTATGTGCTGTATTTTATTTTCAGATTTATTGAAGGGAAAGTCCTGAAAAGAAAAGGCAAGGATCTTTAAAATCCATACCTTTTTTTCTTTTCAGACTTTTACTATCAACAAAGCACAAAAAATCAATTCTTTTATAATTATATATAAAACAAATTGAGGTAACTACCAAACAAATAAATAATAAAATAAAATGTAACTCACAAAATAAACACAGCGAGAAGATCAAGATTCAGAATACCTTTCAATAAATCTGAAAATAAAATATAGCACAAAGAATCAGTTCTTTTATAATTATATAAAGAATAAAGAGAACAAATTAGTAGGTATTGTAACTTATCTGATTGATAAACTACCAGATCTGTAGACGGTAATCTCGGTAAGTAATCTAACCAAATGCTGTAAAAACAACATAGAAAAAAAATTATTACATAGAAAATAATCTTACAGCGGAATGTGTTTTACAGCAGAGAATTTGTGTAATAAAGCAGAAAATATTTATTTTTATTCTAACCTCACTTACGTGTTCGTCTATGCTGGTCTATGCCATCGATGTGACAAATTTCCTAACCTCAATCCTTTGTTATTGCCGAGACTCTTAACCGACTTAATCGATCGTACAGATCGCAACGATCGATATTAAGATTTATAGATACCCGTCGCGACCACATATATTTATCTCTTGCACCAAAAATTTTAGCATTTCCTCACTCCGTAGCTGGCGATGACGACGACGACGACGACACATTGTTTCTTACAAACAAACACCTAGACACCCATTTCCTCGACGGCAAACTCCTAGACATTCATTTCCTCGACGATAAATACCTAGACACTCACTTCCTCGAAGACGAACACGTAGACACCCACTTCCTCGACGGCGAACACCTAGACACTCACTTCCTCGAAGGTGAACACTAGACACTCACTTCTTCGAAGGCGAACACCTAGACACTCACTTCCTCGAAGGCAAACACTTAGACACTCACTTCCTCGAAGGCGAACACCTAGACACTCACTTCCTCGACGACGAACATATAGACAACATCTAGATACTTAAATCCTCGATATAGTGAATACCTGGACACATAGTTTCTCTATATTTCGATATTTCATAATAATATATATATATATTATATATATTATATATTGTTATTATATATATTATATATACATATATATATATATATATATATAATAACAATATATATATATAT